GTAGTAGTAGTAGTAGTAGTAGTAGTAGTAGTAGTAGTAGTAGTAGTAGTAGTAGTAGTAGTAGTAATGTGAATTTTCTGCATTTGGAACTTTTAATAACATTCTTATCAGATAACAAACTTAATTTTTAGATCTTCAGCAGCAATTATTTTCAATTGCTGCTTGTCTTTACAGAATGCTGTTATAACTAGGTATGCAATTATTTTTATAACACAACTGTTTCAAAATGGCAGCACTTCATGCAAACAAATTGTTATTTGATCTATGAAACATAAATATTTGGCTGTAGACAATTCTGCTTAACAGAAGGTGGTTTTTTCCCCCAAAATATTTGGAATGTATCTGGTTATAAAGCCTAATAAAGAATTGTCCTGGTGGAAATCTCTTAAAATATGATAATCACATAATAGGGAGCTTGTGAGATTTTGGTATAGTGGTTAAGACACCAGGCTAGAAAGCAGGAGAAAGCATATTCCTTCTTATCTGTACTATTCATTTATATTGATTTTATGCTAGATTTCAGTGTTAGGACTTATTGCAAGCCAACATCATGTGAAAAAGCAGAAGATTGTGAGTTCAAGTCCTGCCTCAGTCATGAAAGTCAGCTGTGACTTTGTGCCAATCACCAAACCCACCTCCATAGAGCTGTTGACTTGGTGGTTGTTTTATTGTTTGGCACCTAGAATCCTAGAATCATATTAGTGGTATGAGCAGCTATATAAATTGGATTCATAAATAAATAAATGCAGAATATTTTTTTATTCTAATTACAGATTACCTGAGTTGCCAGAAAATTCCAATTCAAACAAGTAAGCATATATCTTCTATTTTTTTCTGCCCATGTAGATCATTCTCTTAAATTCTACTCATGGGTACCACCTGAGTGTTGTTAGGTGGAGCTGTAGTCTGGGCTTTTTGAACTAGTCTCAGCTCTTCATAGCCACTTTAAATATAAACTGCATGGAAACCTAATCCCCTCAGATGAACAAGAGGAATCTATAGCCATCAAATATCATTGAACTCTACTTTCCAGTAGCTACTCTCATCATGGGCAGTGGTGAACATGTGATAGATCAGCAACATCTGGAGATTAACATGCTCCTCATTCCTGCTTTAAAAGCATATAATATTAGTGGGTAGTACTAAAAACTGAATCATTGTGAACAGAATGTGTAAGGTATGATTTTTTAAAACAAACAGCAATGTATTTATAGTTGGACTTAAAATTGTCAAAATAATATAAGTAATACGGCAAAATATAGGCATAGGACAAGTACAGCCATGTTAAAAAAAATAGGAGGAGACTTATTCAGCTATTGCAACATGAACAATGCTGGGTTCATAATCTATAGCATAATTAATAGAAACCAAAGTTCCTGCTTGTCCACTCTTGATTCTTAGTTTATGTACTATGAGTAATAAGGTTACTAAACAGTGGGTAAACAAGGGAGAGGCCATAGTAAGGAGTTCAGCATTCCCTGCATTTTCAGATATTAGCTATTGATTTTCTGGTTCACAGAAACCAGTAGCAATGCCTTCTAAATAGGAAGTGTATATATTGACCTATGAAGGATTCAAGAACATGCTGTTAAAAATGCCTCTTTTTTGCTACTCATAGCCAAAGCAAGGTTGATCATATAGTTTTAGAATGATGNCCCACCCAGTCACATGACTGCCAAGGCACTCCCACTCAGTCACATAGCTGGCAAGCCACTCCCACCTGATCACATGGCCGGCAACCCACTCCCACAAAGCAGGCCACATCTACAGAAGAGGTTCTAAAAAATTTTGAAACCCACCACTGCCATGAATATACTCTATTGCACAAACTTTAAAGTGGGGTTATCTATTAAAAAGACACGAAAAATTGACTGAATGACTGGCTCAGCCCCTCTCTTTCAGGTTAACATCACAGGGTGTTAGGTGCAGGAAAAATAGGAAGAAATTCCGTGTTTTCCCCAAAATAAGACAGGGTCTTATTTTTCTTTGACCCCCGAAATAAGCACTTGGTTTTATTTTCGGGGCGGTCGTATTATTTTTGAGATTCAAGAAGGGGCAAGCATAGTCACTTCATGGCTGCTGCTATGTTGCAATATTTTTAGTAAGGGCTTAATTTGGGGGGGAGGGTTTATGTGCTCAAAAGCCTGATTGGGCTTATTATCCAGGGAAGTCTTATTTTGGGGAAAACAGGGTAATATGATGTTCACCGTTGACTTATAATAAAGATGGGATTTAAAAAACTCAAATGAATAAATGGAACAGCAAGAAAAAGAGAGATTCTTTTCTGCCACCTAGTGGACAGTTCAAACTTAATTTTCTGTAAACAGACATGCACATGTGGAGAGAGAGAGAGCTGTTTTTATTACACATAAAATAGAAAAAATAAAAGACAAGAATAAAAAATAGATATTGACAGAGAGATACTGATATAGTGATAGTGATAGAGGGAGAGGGAGAGGAAAAGGGAGCGATTCAGATAGGTGTTCTGTAACATGTGTCCCCTGTAGATTTCACTCTGTTAGTTGTTGTCAACTATAGCGTGCTGTGCTCATCTCCGTTTCCAGGCCATTTAGCCAAAAGTGTCCAAAGACATTTCCATAGTCATGTCGCCATTATGACATCACAGAGTGATGTTCCCACCAAAGTGGTATCTATTTATCTACTTGCATTTGTATGTTTTGAACTGCTGGGTTGGCAGGATCTGGGACGAGGATGGGAGCTTATCCTCTTGCATGGAGTTAGGTCTTGAACCTGGGCTGCTGGCTTTCCAGCCAACAAGCCCAGCATCTTAACTACTGAGCAACCACACACACACACACACACACACACAGAGAGAGAGAGAGAGAGAGAGAGAGAGAGAGAGAATTAAAACAGTCTTAATTAAGCCAATTTGGTGTAATGATTAAGGCATCAGGTAGAAACTGGCAGATTGTGCATTCTAATCCTGCTTTAAAGCTTGCTGGGTGCCTTTGAACCAATCACATTCTCTCCACTCAACACTGCTCACAGAGTGATTTGTCCGGAGAACAAAGGAGACCAGAAGTATGTTTGCCATCTTCAGCTGATCATTTTTTTTAAAAAAAATAGCACAATAAGTAGTAGTAGTAGTAGTAGTAGTAGTAGTAGTAGTAGTAGTAGTAGTAGTAGTAGTAGTAGTAGTAGTAGTAGTAGTAGTAGTAGTAGTA